ATATTCACTTTTAATATCGGATCTTAACCCACCTTTTATTTACTCCACTGACATTTAGTATAGTATAACAAATTAATCAGGAATTTATTATTACTGTGGGTACTAACAACTATTTCTAGTTCTAAGACAATTTTTAAGCTTTTATGGAATGGAAATATTTGAAATTAATTGTTCACTAATATAATCTGTTACTAACAAAACTCGGTGTAAAGACTGCTGGTTATTAAAAGTTTATAGAAATAAATACTCATGGTGTAATACAAAAACCCATTTTGTCTCTTTGTATGTAGCTAACTATACTATCAAAGCAGAGAATAATATTGTTGTTCTTATCCAACGTTCTCAAATTAATAGTAATTTTGAGTCTATGTTTTTATACCTAGTAGGGTTTATATATTTCTAGAGTATAACTTCTTTTAACTAAAATATTAAATATATACTTTATAGGAAAAGAGTTTTGACTAACTTAACTTTTTTCAGGCAACTCTACATTCATAATCAAGAGTTAACCATCAATGCGATAAAGACATTATTCAAAATATTTAATTAATCTTATAAAACTTGTTAAATAAAATTAAAATACTACTATTGTAATTTTAATGGGTTCTATTTTTCAGACCAGTAAATAATCTTCACTGGGGAGAAATTTGTATCGAGTTGTGGTGAGTTCATATGTTTTTTATTGTTACCTATTACAGTTTTAAAATTTATATTTTTCTATCTAAATATGTTTATTTGTTAAGGCCATTGAGTTATACAGTAGTTTTACTTTAATTGCCTCCTTGCAGTAAGACTACTGTGATTATTGTATAATTTAATTTATTCCCATTATAATTTCTTTGTACGTTTTTAGTGAATTAATATCGTAGATCTCATGGTAATACCCAGGACTCAGAAAGACTTACTTTTTCGTGTTTATGTCCCCAGAGATTAGATTATGGTTTTGTGGGTTAAGGGAAGGGGGAAGGTTTGTATTTCTAATTTTTGAACCTCTAAAGATAAAACTTTCTAATTGACCTTCAAACGATTTTGTAGAGCTTGAAAACCAACTGTCTAGTAAATTGAAGCGTTTTTATACGACTAATCGTTACGGAGCAAAGTTCAAATCACTTTTAAAGTTCCATTGTTATTCTTACGGAGGATAAGTAAACTGTAGTAGATTTCTTGTTTACAGATGTATTCGAATAAATCTTTGCAAATTTATTTCTTTTCTTTAACGCAATGAAAATTTTACCAAAACACACGTGCTTTCCTATTTGCAAGAAACCTAAGTCCTCGTTTAATATAATGCTGTTTAAATGGGGAATACATCTGACATGCTTAATGCAATATTTATTGGAAATCCAATGAGAATTAAAATGAGTTTATTCTGCAGGTTTGCTGCGGTATTCGTCTTTACTCGGGTTTCAAAAACTACATTATTTATCAGCAAACGCTTTATCATGTGACCTTACAGAAATGAAGTGTGAGCTTTTCTTATAGAACTTATTGTGGTTGTGACTTATTGTTGACTATAAAATATAAGGGTAAAAACAAATTGATAGCATTATATATTTATAACTTACAAAATTCACTAGTCATTTCCTATTCCAGGGACTTTAAAGCTGAAGAATCCGTTTTGCAGAAACTAACACATTTGACCAACGCGTCTGGTGTGTCCAGCTTCTTTAAAACGATGAGAGAGTTAGTCAGTACGTCATCCTCAAACGATCAAGAACATGACTTTATTGGATGCGCCGAGGCTTATCTAAAGGTAGGCCAATAGTATGGGTTTATTTATAAATATATATACAATAAATCTAATAACTGTTTTACATAGGTATGTCCTTACATATTTTACATTGGTATGTCCTTACATATTTTACATCGGTATGTCCTTACATATTTTACATCGGTATGTCCTTACATATTTTACATCGGTATTTCCTTACATATTTTACATTGGTATTTCCTTTCATATTTTACATGGGTATGTCCTTACATATTTTACATCGGTATGTCCTTACATATTTTACATCGGTATGTCCTTACATATTTTACATCGGTATGTCCTTACATATTTTACATTGGTATGTCCTTACATATTTTACATTGGTATGTCCTTACACATTACATTGGTATGTCCTTACGTATTTACTGCTCCTCAGAAAATGTATGCCTCCATTCTCTCCCATTCTCCTAAAGCTTCATTATCTGCCTCCTCAATCCTAGCTTACAGGATCATATTCCATGTCGCTCATTCTTCTTTTGCATGGTCTTTTTTTCTTTCTTTGGAAAAAGGCACTATTTTTCACAGGGAATATTTTTCCAGCAGATGGAACTGAAAGTCATTGGACTCACCCGATTCAATCTTTTTATCATTCTTCTTACCTTGTTGGGATCATTGTTTAGTTGTCTAGGTCTTCTTCTTTGCCTTCATCCACCTGGAGTTGTACTTCTTCTAATTCGACTTCCACCTAACCCCTTATTTTGCTGTGTTCCAGACCTTAGTTCAAAGGTTTTTATAGATCATATTATAACGCTTATAATCATCTTATGTTGCGTAAACTAGCACGGGTCAACACAATTAATTTCAAAAGTAATAATTGTGATTTTATTTCAGGATCTAACCTTTACCTCCAAAACCCTGTCGATGAATTTGGATGCAGAAGACTCCAAACCAAGTGGAGGATGTATTAGTGTCAAAATGTCCTTACGAGCCGAAAAAGAAGCAACGGTTGCAGCAAAACAGTATCAACATCTATTTTGTGTGTTCGCCATGCATGAAGTTCAATCTCTACCGGTAAATACAGCCGTAACGGTTTTATAAGATTTTAAATAACCGATAGAAGTGTTTAATGTACACGTCGTGTCTCATGATTGTAACCGTTAAACAACCAAACAGGTCTTTTTACTTCAAAATGTAACTGTGAGTAAGCTCTATATGATTTTGAGAAGTTGTGTTCCAGCAAAAAGCTATAGGGTTAGCACAATTAAATGGAAAAAAACAAATGTAACCTCTACTCAAATCAGTTTCTGTATTTGTTTATGTCTACAACTTTTACTTCTTACAATGATTCTTGATGCGTTTTTATTTTGAACTACTAGTACACAAGCGTTGGACGTTAAATATGAATCCTTATTAGTTTGCATGAAGACAATAAAACAGGATAAAGTACTCTCTGAAAATATAAATTCTTTATATGTTTATGTAATTATAATGTAAATATCGTATGTTTTATAGCTCAATAACTCAACACTAGTATCGTTATCAATGTACAGTGTATACATAGTAAAATGTAATTTATGTAAACAATATGATAACATTAGTGGGCTCAAAAATACATTAACATGCTTCATCAAGCTTCATATTTCACAGGTTGATGAGTCTAGTTTTATTTTCTTAGTTATCTTTTAAGCATCTTAGGTTTCTATATATTTTCATCTCACCCTCCAGGCAAGCGTGGAATGGAACGGCCAGTTGAGCTCAACCGCCGACATGTTGTTAGGTCAGCATATTGAACAGAGCAGAATGACAGAAAAAGACGTAGCACTTTCGAAATGGATCGCATACGCAGCTATCAGCAGAGTACATACAGTCAGCCGTGCTGCCTTGGACAACGTGCTGCAGAAACTGTTAGAACCTATCAGCAATGGACTGCTTACTGAGGAAGAGGTATTTGTCAACAATCTTTCTCTTAAGTGTTCTTTCTACGTGTACAAATATTACGTGACCATTTCCTTTAGGATACTAAATAACTCATCCAACGCATAAGGACAGCAAATACTTTTTTCAAATACCATCTAATCAGCAAACTCGTAGACCATGCGAATTCCGATTCGTCTGATTGGATGACTTCCAAAAACACTTCCAAAAATGGCTAGTAAATACTAGTTACTTCCAAAAATATGACATGTATATTTCTCATTTAAATAACATTGTTTATTCAGTGCCAATGTTTGCTGCTACGGGGAAGATAAAAAGTGCTTTTAACCAAATTTTTTAGTATGGGAGAAAATAGATGCGTTTCAAAATTCAACATATATCCATAAACAGGCAAACCACCACAGTTTTCTTTCCCTACATTAGAATAAGATGAGAATTTAAAATTAATTTTTATTTCATTTTTCCGTGATGTTCAATTCAATTATCAATTATCAATTATTTAAGATGGGGACGCCACTATGTGCGTATTTTAACCCAAATATGAGTGAAGGATGAGTGTAGGATGAGTGGCGCGATCTTGCAGTCTTGTTAGTGACTAAGGCCGACATGTTCCTTAGTCACAGCTGTTAATTAATAGCCCATACAGCTAATGGCAACTAACGGACCTACAGTTTATAGTGGAATCCGAACCACATTTTTTCCTTGTAATTTACGAATTGGTCTAATTATCAGGATAGTACTGTGGATAGTCGTAGTACTCACTAGTGCGGACGTTAATCCACACCAGGGAGCATCGCATCCACAGTGCATCCCTATAAATATCCACAATTCGTGACCTCCTAGTAGCTGGATTACAGGACGACGCCACTTGTCCCAGTCTGACATGTTCAATTGTACAACAACGCTCCGATGTACAACAGTAATTTTTAAGCTGTGCACAATCCAATTAAAAATCCCATAAAGTTCCGTTCCCATGACCCAATCTCGCTGATTCGCGAGATCATTCCAATTTATTCTTCTCTACACCTTCAAACCACATTTTATCAAAATCGTATCAAAAGTACTCGAGTTATCACGTTCACAGACACACACATGCACCCTTGCTTCATGATGAACAGAAGAATCTGTTCATCATGAAGCAAGCTAATTTACTTGCCGTAATACATTAAAATACATGCTTATAAATAATAACAGTTTACCAACACATTAAAAACTATTTGAACACAATTTGAAATGCCAACCTCAAAAGACACACAGTTAAATATGAATGCATTTGTATTGTCATGGCATGTTGTTCTATTTTATTCCTATGGAATCTATTTTATTTTATGATTAACAATGTGTACTGTACCAGATTGAATCGTTTTGGAATGCCACAAAGAAGATCCTACCGATATGTTTAAAAACGATCAGGTCATTTTGGCCTTCCACTGATTTAGAAGAGAGCAAATATGATCTCCTAAAGAACACTCTAAGGTAAGGATTTAACTTAGATAAAGACAAATACTAAGTTATTTCCCTGAAATGATTTGCGGCCTAACAATTAAGAAAGTATACGAAATATGCATTGAAACATATTTTTCCTCTATTCTTTTCTTTGGGACACAATTTTAAAAGATTTATTCCGTTCACCTATTTGATGTTATTGTTTATTCTTTGTTTTTAGAGCAGAAAAGTTTAAAGTCGCCTTTACACTGTTGACATAGACTTTTATTAGTAGATGAGCCAATGACAGCAGTACTAATCGTACGACTTTCTTGCAACCAGCGGGAACTGTTAAACCATTTTTGTTTAACAATTTTTGTTTTCTTACCAAAAATATTTTTTTACATTAGGATGACTGGATTTAGATATTTGACCAGATATATTTTAAATTTGTATTGTTTTTAGTTTTGATTCATAGTGACCAGATGTCGTCCAGTGGTTGAAAACTAGGTCGAAAATGTGTAAAATACAGACTTTTCTATTTTTACCCCACGCTCTAAATAAAATATGTGATTGGAATTTCTTCCATTTGTTTTGATTTTCTGTTTATTTCGTTGCTATTTCGTCAACAGCATGGCAACCCATATGGCCCATATTAATTTTTAAAAGTTTTAAATTAATTTGTTATGCGTATTTTAAAGTCTGTTTAAATTTATAAAGGAATTCTGCACATCTACAGGAAAATATCTTTCTAACTGTATACTGTATGTAATTTTTCTGCAACACACACGAGCTGAGAAAAACGATTTTCAAGAAATATGCTTGACTAGGATAAAACTAGTGATTTATCCAAAAAAGTACTCATGTAGATATCACAGTAAATTTTGAAATATGTACTTAAGGATTGTCATATTTAATAAATTCTGGATTATGTTTTCTGCTAAATAGTAGTTCTAATATGTTCTTTTGCATTACTAACACTTATAGTTTTTTTTTTTTTTTTTTTTTTTTACTTACAGTAATGCATACTACTGTTTCCCTACACGATAAAAGTACTTCTTATATGTGTGTTATTTGTCTATAGGTTTTTGTCGACAGTGGATTTAATTGTTCCCCACATCCCTCAATACGTCAGACTTTTTCCAGGGGATAATGTTGAGAGTGTATCCACGAATCATAGTATTGTCCACTTTGTTGAAAAGTCTATTGCCCATAGAGCATTGCAATGGTAAGTACTGAGTTTAGTTTTATTTTCATTCTACTTACTTACAGTCTACTTGGTACCCAGCCTACTTGGTACTTGGTACTCTTGGTACCCAAGAATAAACTCGCCTCGCCAACACACTGCCTCCAGATTTCTCGATCCACTGCTTCCTCTTCTCACCTTCCCTTTCTCCTCATGTCTCTTCTTACTTGATCTTGCCATCTCAACTTGGGCCTTCCAGGAGGTTTCCTACCCTGGGGGTTGTTGATTATGGTGTTTTTTTTCACTAAGGAGACCTCTTCCTTTCTAAACCTATGGCCCACCCACCTAATCTCCCACTTCTCACCTCAGCCACAATATCTGGATCCCTATACCACCCTCCCAACTCCCTTTACTCTGCATTTTCCTTTTTTAAAGGATGGTCCAAATCGAGGTGTTCCTTAGAATTTTGTTTTCAAACACTATTAGTTGTGTTTCTGTTAAAAATTATGTTGAGATAAATTGTGTAGCTACTCAATGATATTAGGACATATGTTTAGTTTTTGGTTTGCGTTTTAGCATATTGTAATGTTGAATGCAGTATTCATGACTTAAAAAGTTTAGTTAGTTAGTTTTAGTAAAGTTTGTAATGTAATAAACCCTTGACTGGCCCCAACAGAACAAATGAATCTTAAATCTGGATTTGTAATGATTAAATAACAAGCCCCCTTCAAGTTAGCTTTTTGTTCAGAATATGGATACATAAAAACATGGAGTACACTTATACATTTGATAAAAGCATGACGTGACGAATTACATTCTGACAAAAATCAGTTTTTTAATAGGTCTACATTTAGTTTTACAGTAAAACGTTTTTGCGTTTATTGATCACATCCCTACACGTCAATTTTATCACATTTAAATTTTGTTTCAGGTACGACGAAATCTCTGACCTACAAAATCTTGGTAACTCAAAAACTTCTAATTTGATAAGAGTTACAGAAACTCAAAGGGCCTGCAAGGAAATTCTCGAAAAGAAGATACCTATACTGGCTGAAATATATGAAACGTAAGTAATAGTATAGATACTACACTAATAGTCCTTAAGCGTTCCATTTTAGGATAAAAAAGTAATTTAGGTAGGAGGTGGAGCTGAGTGTGGAAAATAGCTATCGAGCCCCAGAATGAAATTCTTGTGAAAAGTAATTATTATTATACATTTAAACAAGATGCAAATAAAACACACTATAGGGATACATGTACACTAGTAGCGCTCCTGTTAATGAAAACTTAACTTAATTTGTTTACAAGTGAAAATGTTTGCTTGGGGCAAAGCATTGTTCGGGATAGGAAATACAATGCTTAGTACAGGCTAAATAACATGTTCTAACGGTTTCGAAATTGACAATTGTCGGAAAAATCAGATAATCCAAGAAAAAAAAACTGAGCTAAGCTATTATTGTGTATGCAGGGATGAAATTGTATATTCTACTAATATTCTTGTAATTGGCCCGTTCCGGAACAAGATAGTAGATTACATTCTGTCTGATTATGAATTATGATTTTTGCAATCGAAGTTGACATTAGGTGTAGGTTTTAGGTCACTTGAGGACGGGGCCAGATCTTAAACCCCGAAACGTTGTGAAAACAGTTTTTACAGATCATGATGGAAAATGTTCAAAATAATCATTTGTAAGGTTCCAAATTTTAAGGGGGGTAAACGTACTGAGAATAAATGAACACTATAACTTAGAGAAGAATACCTGTAAACATAAATAATAAACAGTTTTAAAATTCGATGGTAGAATATTTCAGATTCATTATAAACCTTTTTAGAAATTAATACTATGATGAAAAATATATATCCTTTATATGTTTTCAGGACATTGAAAATATCTTATGCAAAGGTCGTGTTTGAATCTTTGGACTCTGTGGTAAGTTGGTAAAAAATCTTTATGTTTATATTTTAAAATGTCTTTGAGATACATAAAATGACACGTATTGATATTTTACGAGACGTATTTTTAGAAGGCCAGGTTGCATGTACAGCCGGCTTTTGCTAGGATCAGATCATGCATAGAATGTCTCAGTCTTTGACAAATTGATTTTAGTCTCAAGCGAACCATGAGTAGTACGGCCTTTATTCTTGGTTCTGGTTTTTATGCCCTCTAAAACCAACTGTTATTCTGAGGATTCTGGGCCCCCAACAAGTATTTAATGTTAGTCATGTCCACACCTTCATCACATTTCTTTCTAAGGTACTTTCGATGGTTTGATTTAGTTTAGCTGTGATTGGAATACCCAACAGTTGATACCCCAACAGTAATTGATTTGACCACTTCGCTATTTCCAATATACAAAGGCGTAGTGTCATATTGGCTCGCCAATTTTCCACCAGATTTAATATTTCTTTTTTTTTAGAAGATTAGCTCGTAAAAAAATATTTCACGTGATACTAACTTTTGTCAATAGAATTAGTTTGTTATAATAATTCGTGTTAGTATTCATATATGATAACTATTACGTTTATTATCGTTATGTTGCTTAACATTTTGTATTTAATGTTTAATCGTTTTATTGTGTATCCAGTGCACCAGTAAGTTTGCAGCTAATGTATAAGGGAAGTGAAGTTAAATTCCCAAAACTCTATAATGCGTTTAATTTTTTTTTTAGAAAGTTCATTGTACATTATACATATAATTTTCTTCCAGATTAAAGAATCTACAGAGCCTCTAGTAAATCAAATGTGTTCTGTAATAAAAGGACGCAAAGGAGAAAGTCAAACTCACACAAAAAACGAAGCAGCTTTAGACATTGGAAAGAATTTGTTTACCCTCTACAAGAGTGTTCAGGGATTGGTGAAGTGAGTATTTTAACACAAACATGATTCTGGGTGGGATAATTTAATTATTTTTCAGATTTTTTTTTACTATTAAAAAGAGGGCATACTACAAATGAGTGTAGCACTTTGAGTGAGCAGTACTACTAAATGAGTGGTAAAATTTAAGTACCAGCCTAGTAATATCCACAATTATTTAACTAGTTGACTTTCTATGAACCTTTAGATTCCACAAAGCAAACGGGTGCACTAATCAATATTACTTTCATGTCATCCTAAGCTTAAAAAGAGTAAAAAAAGAGTTTTTAAGTTAAACTGAGAATGTCCAATTGTGTGATCAATATTCTTAATATCCTAACTCATTTATAAGCATTCTCATAAACCTCTGTTTAGAAGTATTTTAATCTGGTTTTAATTATTTTCCCCCTTTTTGATCATCAACAGTTATTTGTCTCTGTGTTTCTACACGACCTTAGCTATTTTATTTACTCATAAATAAACAAGTAAAAAACTTTTCTCAAAAGGCCTAAATTAAGGTTTGGCTTTATATTGTAGTGTGTCATAGTGCAAACCATACAAAGAGAAGTATAAAGTGTTAGATTGGACTGGCGAGTTCTATAGCTAACCATCAGTTAAGCTTTTAGTTTTGCACGATAAAAAGATTGCTGTGAAATTCTTACCAACTTCTAACTTTTACAGAGTTGGTGCCACCACTATGACACCTTCGGAATTTGAGAGTCTTAGCCTCGCCACATGCCACTCTTGGTTCTATCCCGTGATTCCTCTGTGGTTAGATAGGATTAAATATAGTACGAAGAGCCGCGAGGAGCAAGCTTTAGAACAAACAGGTTCCAGTAAAACCATTGAAAGCTCTTACACAGAGGACTCGGTTGATGAATACCTTCAGGTAAGCAACTCGAAAAAAAAATGGATCTTAAATACTTGCAACAACGATTCTGCGATGAAAAAAAATGTCACTAATATTTTTTTTATCTTATTAAGGAAAGACCAAAAGTAAAACTAATGTGATGATGAGCCAGTTTTAGCTGTAAAATGTAAAACTAACTAAACCACGATACATTTTGTGACCTTGTGCTGATAAACACTACTTTTTTCTGTCAAGGATTATGTTCATTTGCTTTTAACAGCCAGGGAAACCATTATAACTTTCGCTTAGTTGTATTTATACGTTTTCGTCTGTTAATGGTTTAATTTAAACCTCATCTTCAACCATTTTTCTTTCACAGAAACTACTTCAATACGAGTTTAATAAATACATAAGCTACGTTCATAAACACTTTTTCATCTATTTACGTATTTAAACGTAGGACTTTTAAAACATGAAATAGCAAACGTTTAAAAAACGCATTACACATGTTTTAATTTATAATATGAGTTTTCGCAAGATTGTATTAGTTAAAACATAATTATGAAACATTAAAATGGATTTTTCAGAAGATAAAAACCTTTTGGCATGAACTATCTTGGCCTAACCCCGAAGAGTCTATGAAAATGTTGGATACCATTATGAATGTAAGTATTCTTTTAATTGTTAAGAGAAGCATGAATTTAAAATTTATTAATGTTTATCCTAGAGTTTATATTCTTCTTCTAAGCCATTACATGATAATTTTAGTAAACAACACATTGCAATCCTCCACACGCTCCGGCCGACCTTTAGGCGCAACTGACCTGGAACACTACCCTATCAAATGTTGGTATTACTTGTTGTATACATATATATATAATATATATATATATATGTGTGTATATACTTGTTGTATTAGAATTCCCGGCCTTGAGGCAAAGTAGTCGCAGGCTCCATCGACACGTGATGCTGGCCTTCGGATATACCGAAGCGTGTGGAGTCTGCTTTGATTAAAGAGCTAAATTTTGGTTTGGATTGATTTACGTGATTGCATTGCAGTTTTATGGCGTTCTACATTTCATTCTTGTCATTTTCATAGTTTTCCCCTGCAACGGGAGTAATAAACGGTGGGCATACCATGCTTGCACAAGAGATTAAAAAAATAAGTTACAGTTTTTCCTTTTAGGTATAATACCCTGGAAAACTGCACGATTAAAAAAAAACCCCTTTGAGTCATTGAAAATTTCAAATAAAAAAAAATAAATGGAAAAGCAAAGATTTATATATAATAATACTTAATTTGTTTCAAAGGTCAGCTTTGTACAGGGTGTGTACCACAATTAAAGGCAGGTATTTTCCCTTGAAAAGTCTGTAACATTTTAATAATATGTAGTACAGAATCTATGTTCAGATAAAATCTGTTTTTCTATTAATTGTTGTCTGTTTTAGGAAGTTTACAAGTGTATTGATCATTGTAGTGACATGATTATCTACGAAGTAAAAAGGATTTTGAAATCTAGTGAAGGTGAAGCTCAGATGTCAAACGTTACCAAAGAGGTAAAATATAGAGAAAATTAATCTTAAATTTTAAAATGTTTTTTTACTCAACAATAATGCATGTTCTTTTCTTAAATTTGTACGTAATTAAACATATCTTATTTAGATTGATATGGATGGATAATTAAGATGTTGATATTGATTTTGTTCCCAATGTGTTATTACTTTTTATACAAGATTTTTCATGAAAATTTTGTATAACCTCTTTATATGTTCCACCCGCTTTATATGTTCCAGTGGGTGCGTGCTATCAAAAGAATAAATAGTCTCATAGGTAAAGTTGAAATATTTGCTAGCAATGAGCTGAAATTGGATGACACTATGAGGAAGATTGCTGAATCCAAAGGTCAATCAGAAGCCAGCCAGCAAACGCACATTTTAAAACAAACATTATCTGAAATGATAGACGTCTTCATAGAAAAGCAGTCATATATTGTATACATTCTTGTTGAGAAGGTAGGTAAAATAGATATTTGTTTAGTAAATATGCTTAAAGTACAAATTATAATCTAATCATTAATTTGAACCTGTAAAAACGGGCGTAAACGCGTAATTTAAACGCGTGTTTTATATATACATATATATATTTTGTTATTGTATACATCAATGAGGGCTACTTTAAATGTTACTAAGCAAATCAAAATACCACAGTACCCTAAAAACATTTTATTTTATAATACTTACATGTTTCGGACATTAATGCCATGATCACAGTATAGTATATAACCTATTAGTTTCGTTTATTTACAAACATTCAGTAAGTATTATAAAAAAAAAAACATGTAAGTATTATAAAATAAAATGTTTTTAGGGTACTGTGGTATTTTGATTTGCTTAGTAACATATATATATATATAATTCCATATATATATATATATAATACCCTCACCGCAGCATACCTGCATACTAAGCAAATGCCCATTTACCTAGCTGGATTTCTACTAAAATATTCCCATAAATTGTCAGATTCATATTCAGATCTATTTAATTAACATTAATTTTAGTGATTACTTAGGTTTGCTGCTACAGTTAAGATATTGGAACGTGTTTTTTTGTTGCAATGTCGATAGCTTAATATTAAATAAACAACATTTCCCAATGGCTTATGGACCATCCCTGTTATGACTTCGATGAGTTTTTGTTGAAAGTGCCAATATGATAGAAAAGTAATTTGTATTTATTAGAATGCCTATTAATATATAGATTAACTCGCTTATTTTTAACTCTGTGCATTAATTTATATTACTTATATAACTTATAACACATTTATTAATTGTAAAGTATGTGATATACAGTATTTTATAACCATGATAGTAAATGACTGTGATATATCGCTAAGGGTATATAAATGTTTTTAATTTTTATTTTTACGAGGTCTATTGTATATTATTTAACAACCAATAAAATAATTGATTACTTATCAAATGGTTACCATTTTATGTTTGGAAAATTTATGATTCTACCAAGTAATAACTATTTAAAAACTGACCTCTAACTTTAACCAAATTTCAATAAAAGATATCTTCTAACAATTTAATTATTAAAAGTGGTCAGCATGAAGCAATACAGTATTATACTCTATGGAACTATTATAATCCATACAGTGGTCACATTCTACAGATCAAATGATTTATGCCTTGGTATTTTCATCTGTTAAGAAGATTCACTTATTTCAGATGACACCATCATTGAAACACATGCTGATGGAAAGTACAGAAGCTACAAACAATAAAGGAATTGACAATCTACTTGCACATTTGGATGATATTTTTAAAAACCTACAATCTTTGCTAGGCTCTAAGGACAATGATAAATTGAGTAGCCAAGTATTCCAAATATATGTTTTGGAAATTTACCAAAACTTGCTCAAACTTATAGAAAAGGAAACTAAACTTGGGATTGAGGTACGTGATTGAGTTAGGTATTGTTAAATACTAGGACTAATATGTTTAATTATTGGAATCCGATAAAGCAGAGAACAGAATGAGAACAAGGTTTACATATGCTTTCGGGTTTAACTGTAGCCCCATAAGCTTAATATGCAGAAATATCTAATTCGCTTGTTTAACAATGTTGAACAGATTTAAGTTATTTTGGGTCAGACTTTTAATTATAGGTGTTTCAAGTGAACGAAACAGTTGTAATATTTATAAAATCTATAAATATTTCAAAACAATTTTATTTATTGTAAATTTGTTCAGTTATGACATAAAACTTTATAAAGCATTATTTTTAATTTGAGTCCAGGATAGCTGCCCCTTTATTCCTTCTCTCTTTTACTTAAGATACTGCAAAAGATACTTCGCATGTAACTGTAAAATCCGCAACCTTTATATTTGCGTTTCAAATGCATGATTTAATGATTTTTTTTAGTTGCCTGGTTTTAACAAAGTTGTTGTCTTATTTTAACTTAACACAAACTACAGTTAACATAACCCACATATTTGGTTTACATATTTTGTTAATGTATTACGCAAAAAGGTTGCTTTATTTGACCAAAGTAAATTCAATTAAATTATTATGTAGAGCTGTTACTTGTGGAAACTTCTTTCTGAAGAAAAATTATAATGTTTGTACTATGATGCATTTTGCAAACTTTAAAATTTAGAAGGTACTAGCGAAGAGATTAACTAAACTTTATAAATAAAATTTCAATATATTTATTACAATCAATTGTAGATATCCAATTTTATTGCTAACCAAAGTCTATGTAAAAGTATTTTGCATTTACCTAGATAATATGCAGGTTATTCTATAAAGCACTTTTAAGTAAGCGTGTTCTGTGAAATAATATTAAATAGTTGCATTACTTTTAAATGCGCTTGTGTATATTTTTTTTACGATGGAATATTCATTATGTCAGTTTCTAAGATGTATTTACCCTATTTTTTAGACTCTCACTCACACCCACTTAATAGTTGTCCGTAATACTTCAAAAGGGTGTCTTCGTACATCAGGGGTGAATTCCAGCCACCATGTTCCAACGGTGTAGCTTTAGGTCCTGTGAGTGTAAAATGTTGTTGTGTAAAACAATGTTGCTTAAACATCAGAAAAATAACCCAAGATTTTTACTCCATGACTGTATTAAAAGAAAAGGAATTAAATTAAAGAGTAAGTAGAACTGAGGATTTTTCTGATGGTTGCCATGTAGCTATTTACCAAAGAAACATGTAATATTCTTCTACGTCCTCTCTCTGTTCCGCAATAGTGACTAAGATTGGAAAAGAAAATTTGGGGCATTAGATATTGTTAACAAAAACAAGAAATACAGTGTAAAATATTTAAATTTACTAATCTTTCCCTCAACCGTATCACGATAATAACCTAAGCAAAAGGCCTTACTAACACAAAATATATTAATGAAATCATCACAGCACCACAAAACATAAAACTGATATTTTTTCTAGAAACGCAAGTCTACAGCATACTTTTCCAACATGCGCCAAATTAACGAGAAGCTAGAAAACTTCTTTGGCCGGTTTGAAATGCTTAGTGACCACAATCTTTTTGCTGTGATCCAAAGAAGACTTAACATTCTCGGGTCAAGTACTCCAGACCTCATATTGCAGGTAAAATTTACTAGACATGTCTAAAAAACATCTTCTAAATAATGTAAATTGTGCATTGTCTTAGAAATAATTCTCAGGTAAAGAAAATGCTTGAATTACATAATTATCGTTTTTAGTGTCAAAATTTGTGAAAATAGTACAGTTGTCAAATAAAATTTTGAAAATCATATTGCAAATATTGAATCCAAAATTGGGATTTTAGTGAGACTACAATTACAACACACTTACACGCTTACATCTCATCTAGCTATAACTAGAATATTTCAAGTAGTATTCTATGGAGAATGAGCGTGTGTTTTCAAATATTTGTTAGTGTAGGAAAAGTAGGAAAAACATATATTGTAAACCTTTTACTGATTTCAACAGTTGAACATTTACCATGACCTTGTGTCCTGGCCTTGACCTCAACTATCACTTTCCAGGTTGTGTATTGGAGATTTTTTTATACTAGCCTATTTATCACAAAGATGATTGGTGGCCACTAATTCAACAATTACAGACAGTAATGTTCAAATTCCTTCTAATGCAGGTTCACAAGATTCGAATGGCAGAGCAGAATGACTCAAAGGACCAAACGCTGGGAGTGCTCAATGTGAAGTTACGTTTTGTAGAAAATACATTGCGCATTGAAGTCTTGAACGCCAAGAACCTGAAGGCTATGGACACTAACGGTAGGAAAAGTAACTCTTAATCAAGTATTATTATATCATTTTATGTTTGTATATTTTTTACAAACCTACTTTTTTTCTTAAAATGTATTATTTGTTTTCGTCCTTTTTTGTTCATTTTTTTTATTCTTTCTGTTTTTTAAATTGTCTTCTAATCCGTGTAGGGGGTTTCCTGTTTGTTCTTTGATTTTTTTCTTCTTGCATTTTTAGCTTCTTTCAAAACTATTAATGATTATAATAATGGCTACTAATATCTTCAGCCTGCGAGTGATAAAACATATCTAGTTTATGTATTTTATTGATTTAAAAGCTAAATCAATATTGAAACTACGTCATTTAATTTTCTTTGTAAAAATATTTTTTAATATAGAACAAAATCAAGTAAAAATATTGTAATGGAGATTGCTCGTGTTTAATCACTTTAAACACTTTTAAGCAATCTTACAAAACCTTTGAGAGTATGATGAGGATTTTCAATCAATAATTTCTATGATGTAAAAGATTGTTAATACGAATGGACTTTGAGGACTATTTAAATTCAAAATATCCCATGTATTTTGCTAACGATTTCATAGCTCGTTAGGCTATCATTGTGATTAAAATGCTATTTTGTAGTACGTTGTATCATATGTTTTCCAAAAAAGAATAACGTGGTAATTTACCTAAAAAGATTGTTTATAATTGAACCATAAAAATCATCTGATTAATTTATTTCTTACTAGAAAATTTAAATATTTTACTAACAAGATTTTTTTCCTTTGTTGCACGAAACTTGAACATCATTTAATAATATTTATAACCAAACGTAGTAGTTCAAGATTAAAGTTAAAATACATTTTGCTCTGAACCTTGTTAGATTAAAATACAGCAATTTGACTAGATTTGTATTTATTGATTAGGTTTGGGACAACAGGGGCAGTTTGGATAAATGTTTTGCTTGTTTTAAATTTTATCCATAATAAGGGAATATAGTTTACGTTAAAAAAATATTTATGATTGTACCTCAAAATCCATGTGTATAATTTATCTTTTACTGTTTAGATTTTGATTTGTTTTTTTGTTTTTTTTTTTATTGATTGAAATCAAAACAATAACTATGTCAAACAACTTGTCAGCCTGTCTTCTTGAATATTCATAGTAATGTTTATAGATTTCATTATGCGTAAACCTTTTAAATTCTAATAATTTTAAAAATAAAATAATAAAAGTTAAATAAACAATATTATGAAAAAAGTATTTTTTTAGTTTTGTTGAAAATGGATGTAAAATTGTATGTAAATTTGTGTTTGTTAGTAAGTGTATTTTGTTTCAACTTAATTTTCATAATTGTGTTTTCCACGTGTGCTAACCAAACAGACGGTCGTAGACCATTGTTTATTAAGTGTTTGATCATGTTTATGAGAGGAATGTTTATGTTAAAATAAAGCACTTTATTCATTCATTCATTCATTATCTTATACTGGTAATATTTAAATGTGTTACCTAACGTTGTTTTTTGTTTGTTGTACCATTACTAAAATGCCTATGTTTCAATGATTTTTCAGGTTCTTCAGATCCTTATGTGAGGATTAAATTTCTACCAGCAGATATGTTTAGAAACTTAGAAAAACCGAAAACTAAAGTTGTTAGTAAAAATTTATCTCCGGTGTTCAACGATACTTTTGAAATGTAAGTATGATACCTCTCGAATTGCTTTGCCAATTCAGCATGACATGCACATTCTACAAAGACAAATTAGAATATAAAAAACTAAAAATTTGTTATTTAAAAAAGTATAATACATAAAATGATTACTTTTTCTAATAGAAAAATGCGTTTTTCAATTCAATTTCTTTCAAAAATATATAAAAAGGGTATTTTTCATTTGCATGTAATATGATAGTCTAATATAATCAAAAAGCTAAACACTTTGTGCACTAATCTTACTTTAACAGTGAGACTGTATTATATGAGACTGATGTGTTGACATTACAATTTATGTTAGATAGTTTAACAAACATTCAAATTCTCATCAAATAGTCATAGAGTCATAATGTTTAATGTATTGTATGAATACACAATACATAATAGTTTAATGAAATACTTATTAAATAAATGAAAATTCTTTGCTTAGTTTTAATGTTACTCTCAAACTAAAATAACCTGTCATTTAACTTTTTTGGTTTATAGTTTTTATATCTACGACGGTGCTGAAGGGCTGTAGAGAAAGAAATCATTTTATAAAAATCCGTGGGTTAAGCACGAAATTTCTAATTTAAAACCCGAAGCTCCGGGGTAAAAGTTGAAATTTCATGTTTAAAAGTCGAAACTGCGTGTTTAAAAGTAGAAATTTCGTGTTTAAAAGTGGAAGCTTCGGGCTTAAAAGTCGAAATTTGGTGTTTAAAAGTCATACCTTCGTATTTAAAAGTCAAAACTTTGTGTTTAAAAGTCGAAAATTCAAGTTTAAAAGTAAAAATTTCGGGCCTTAAACACGAAGTTTTTCAATCATTTTTTTTCTCTATGGCCCTTCAGTGCCATCGTACATATCTACCTGTTCCACACTCTCCTTATTTCCTAAATATTACGAGAAAATATCCAACACTGCTAAATCAAACTTTACCCATATTTCAGCAAACTGACTTCAGATCAGAGGCAGTGCAAGGAAGCTATGTTGTTGTTCATGGTGAAAGATCGTGATATGTTTGGAGCTTCGTCAGACTTCTTAGGGGAAGCTTACGTCTCGTTCAGTGACATTCCGGAGTCTAAGGTCGAAGTTCAGGAGACCCAGCTGAGTCTGAGCGTGCCTTCAGATATCACCTTGGGTGAGTTTCGAATGTTTGCATCAGATTTGTAGCAGGAAAAAGGGGTAGACTTGTGTATCTATTGGCAAAAACAACCGAATGAAAATATCGATCGATATATCGATTATTACTCGATATATCGTTTGGTTAGTTAGTTTAACCTTACCTAACAAACCCAACGATATATCGAATGAAATAGGCTAATCGATACATAAAATAATTTTTCATTCGGTTGTTTTTGACAACAGATACGGAATTTTACCCGGAAAAAGTTAACTCAACTCATTCTTTTAATTAATATGTTTTGAAATATGAATTTCAGTATTAAACTTATTTAATATTTTCAGGGTGTGAAGAAATGAAGACTTTGAGCGATCGGAAGGACGACAAACTGGCAAGTCCGTTTGTGAAATATCAAAAGTCAAAGCGTAGTCACGGTTTCGTTCCTACTTGATGGACATGGGGGTGTCTACAATCACAATTATGTTATTATGTATTTATATTTATTTGCAAACAATATTTCTTGAAATGTATACTCAATTGGATACCAAATGCAAATCATTATGGTGAACTGTGTTCTGAAATAATAGGAAAATAGTGAAAGAATATATTTGTTTGTATTAAACATGTTTTTCCCGTTGTATTTATAATAGTAGACTATGATTATACGTTGCTTGTACTCATTGTTTTGCGTTTTGATGAACTAATTGTTTTCTAACAGTACGTAAATAAATGTTAGCCCATTGAGTGGTTTTTATCCTTTTCTGTTTTACGAAAACCACTATGCTGGATGTTATGACTCTTACCTTATCAAGTTCAATACTTAAGCAATACATTAGTGTATAACTAGTGCCATCGTCTGTAAGGAAGGCACTGTCTTGCCTCCTGAGCCACTTAAAACAAAAAACCATGAAGTTTTGGCAATCTTCAATATGTTAGATCTTTTTTTTTTGGGGGGGGGGGGGTAAGTCCATTCAAACAATCTTCCTTTAGTCTGTGTTTTGTAATCAAATTTAAAATATAAAAAAACTCTTTTTTTAATATCCACTAAAATATATGTTATACTTACATTATTTGTTTCTTCCAAGCAACAAAAATATGTCTTTAACAATTCAGTCAAGTAGATGGGCACGTTTGTTCTTACAAGAAAATAACAAATACTAAACTGTATTTTTATTCTCGAATTTGTCAGTTTTGCCAAGTTAAAGTAACAATACAACTCATTTCTAAATTAATATTTTTTTACACAGAAACTGTTAAGTGTGGGAAATGTTTTGCATATAGTTACATTATATATATTTGTATAAATTTACAATAATCTTAATTTATTAGTTAGGTTTTAGTAATGTAAATGTAGATGTAAAAAAACATTTTTTAAGGATATAAACCTTTTTGAAATTTTTTTTCTTCAACCTATGTATAATTATATTATTTAAAAAAATTAATGTCAGTTGCCTTTATTTTTATACAAATGATAATAACAAAAGAAGTATTTATTTACACACAAATAGGAACACCGTGTTGTATTAAAGGTTATTCTTGGTTCAATAACTGATGGGATGCCTTGAAGGTAAGCACGATTCCTCTGTCTCGAGCAATTACAAGGAAGAACCTTGTTTTTGGCTTGATTGGGCAAAACCCATTAGCAGAAATTGAATTGTGGCGCAGGTGAAATTAATTTGTGTGTTGTGAAAAATGTTTTCCCCTTACCGAAATATTTCAAAAATCTAAGTAATTGTGCTAACATTAGTCTGTTATTGTTTTTGATTTTGAATGTTAGTTCTTCTTCTCAACCAAACATATGGGAAATCCCATTCTAAAATACTCATTAGTCTGTCATTACCAGTATGCTAACTTTTTTAATTTGTAACGTTATACTGATTTAAATTATGATTTGGGTCTCCCATAGGCATACAAGACCAGGGGTTAGTCTACAATAAAAATTAGCATAACAAAGAATATGGGCTTTTCAAGGTTATTTCGTAAAGTTAAAATTCAAAATGTTATTTTAAGAAGATTTAACTACATAAATATCTAATAACAACGTGAACCAAGATATCGTGCTTTAAGTTTATTTTCATTTTTTTTTTTTTTTTTTTTATCAGGATGTGAATTGATGATGATTTTGGATATGAATGATTATTGTGATTGAACAAAGTAAATTAAAAAAAAAATTATTGGTTATCCTTTAGTTTGATATTTCATGGTTTATTTACTTGAAACATTCATCAATAAGGTAACCAAATACTATTCGATAACAACTATTTGACTAGCAAGTCAAACATTTAATGTATGCTCCTCAGAAAAAGTATAACTAGACTACTAAAACCCATTATATCTTAAAAAAAATTATAGTTTCTATCTTAAAAATAACCACATTTAATTACTTGACTTTACGATAAACTTCGGAAATAATTGGTAACTTGTTGAAAAATATATCAAATAGTTCCGTAAATGGATAAGACGGATTTTTAGGACTACGATATTGTATTTTTTTTACAAAGAGTGTAATTAAAACGAGCAAAGTCTCTAGTTTTACAGAGTACTGCAATATAAACCCATATGAAAGACTCTTCCAAACAACCTAAGGGCATGTCTTTGTCACTCGGACTTTTAAAAGGGGTGAAAGTTCTTTTTTTCTCACATTGACCAGTTTACTTTGGGTCCATGTAAAGAGTATGAACAAACAAGATTTTTTTAAGAAATCTGTTATAAAACGAGTTTTTTACTACTAACTTACCACAACATTGTTGAGTGGCATTTTAATTAAAATTCTAGAGATCAAATATATTTTTGTTTAATAATCATCACTTCTTTAAGCTATAAATCAGTATGTGCCTATATAAATTTTTCTGAAACAATATTTGGTATAAAAAAAATGTTATGTTTTTAGTTTTACTGTACGCACAACCAGTTAATTTTACGTGAACTAACACAACTTTTAATTCAACTTATCAAAAACAAATATATTATGTTTAAAATCTATTTAATATAATAGCTAGTATATAGTTAAGTTACAGCTTTTCAATTACACTTTTGTTCGGATAGACTATTTCCTACGCTTTTGTCTGTTCAGATTTATTTGTTGGGGTTTGCCCATACACAATAGGTATTTTTATCCTTGAATTCGGGTTTGCAACTATGTTTACTATATTAACAGGTTAGTTTGAAGTTTATCTGAACAGTAGTTTTTCAAACTTCACGAACATAAATGTGAATATCCAGGTATAAAACCGTTTAAGAACAAAATTTAACAATGAAATATTAATACTGTAAGTGTAAAACTTTTTTCAACTTTGATAACAAGAATTGCGTACACATTTTGAAATAAAATGCCGATGAGATTAAATTAAACCACAACAAATACATTAGATATTCACATTATTGGCTACATTAAAAACTAATATTTATTATCTGAGGCAAGCTCGTATTGTGGATTCTGTAATCGCATTAACTGGAATTTTCGTTCACCCTGAATATATATTGGACTTAATTATGTTCCAATAGCTTATTGCATTTAAAGTATTTTGTTCAGTGACCATAATGTAAGAAGTTTCCTTTTAAAACCTCAATTAAATTGAGTAAAATTATACAAAACATAGTATATATTTTTTTAATGTTTTGTTTGAAATGACAATCAGTTATTTAAATAACTGATTAAAATTGTTATTTGTAGAGAGTTTTGCGGATACAATTCGACTTATTGAACCATTATTCATATTTTTTTTATATGGATATAAATTTTAATAAGTAAGACTTCAATTCACTAGGTCACATAAATTAACATATAATCCTAACTAAAAGTATATATAATTATTTAAATCCGACCTTCAATACTGAGCTTTTTACAAGCAACCTTCATTTACTATGATAGTTGATTAAGATTGGTTTTTAGTTGTCCTTTATACGTAAAGGACAACCTTTAAGCGATCTAAGGAAATGGTTTTATTTTTGTGTTTGACTCCTAAAATATTTGAATTAGTTTAATATTATTAGGTTTACATGGTACAAAGCAATATTTTGAACATATAACTATGAGAATAAAAGTAGGTAAACTGAAATCTGTGTTTTATGGCGATTCTCCATTAGGTGACTGCCATTACCTCAGTCTCCCCTATTATATTTTGAAACCAACCAGTTCGGAATTATGTTTGTTTGTTGGCAGATATTAGCTGTAGAGATCACTCTCTTCAACAGAGACTAATGATTGGCTGTGAGGTGATATTTGACTTACAAATTACAGTGCCAATGAACAATTTCATGCCGGAATGAATCAAGCTCAAACCCCTTTGAGAGAAAGAATTACTGTATCTGTTGGTCAAGTTTGAAATAGTTTGAAAAGTATAATCAGTCAAACGATTTAACAGTTTTTTAATCATTCATATTTTTTACGTATTCGTCCTTTGCTATTAGTTTGAAGATTAACACATATTTCTGGTTCAGTTTTAATATTACGAAAGCATTTTATAATTTTTGTTTATTTTATTTCACGACTCGATAAGCGATGATGACTATTTACAACAGGCATAACGTTTTCTTTACTTGTAAATCCATTTATCTATATCTTTTTTAGTAAGCTTTACCAATATGTTGGCTCCAAACTATTAACAATTACATCTCTGTAGGTTTCTTTGATTTTTAAAATTTAATTTAAGTTTGCTTCTAACAGGTTAAACAAATTTTATTTAAACACAAAAATTAATTTATAGTTATTTTTTTATTATTTTACAGTAAAATATATACTGAGATGAAATACACAAAAATTATCTTTAAAGGTTGCTTGGACGAGAACCGATGAGTTACTTTTAGAAAGTGAGCACTTTACCAAATACAGCACGAGTTAGTGTAGAAAGTGAGCACTTTACCAAATACAACACGAGTTAGTGTAGAAAGTGAGCACTTTACCAAATACAACACGAGTTAGTGTCTTGCTGTATTGAAACAGTCCTCAAACGTATGTGCTGATGTTAAACATTAGACTTTAGCACACATTCAATTTTACTCTTGGTTACATTTAACTGATATTGACTTATGTGACAAGAAATTTGTTACAGTTGTTTATTTTAAACAACACAATTAATGAAAATGATAACATTTTGATCAACATGGCCATGAGAATGGTTGTGATACAAGAATATACACGAAAAATCTACAACTAATTAGAACTGTAATACAACCAGTTGATGCCATCATTGTTTCCCCATTTTCAACGTCGTAAATTTACAATTATAAAGTATTTTTTTAGAACAGAATCAACATTTGAACGTTGTTCATAAATAGTGGAAGGTATCTCGCACTTCAATAACACTAAAAGAAATTCAAGCGATATACTTCCTTAAACTAATAAAACAATTCAAAAGGGAACTTCATAGTTGGATAAACTTAAAACGGATATTTACTATCTATATAAATAAAATTAGAGTTTTGTCTGTACATTGCTCAGAATTATATATTTTTAGGTTATTTTTACGTCTTATACATTAAATAAGCAGAAACGAGTCTTATCTCAATTTCTGTCTGTCTGTCTTTCCCTTTGTCTGTAACACTCAAGATGGCATTTTACGCT